GTTGTTAAACTCTGTTTTATTTTCTTCCTGTTCTTTTTTTTCTTTTTTTTTTTTTTTTTTTTTTTTTTTTTTTGTGATTCGAGCGGTTGAAAGGGGGGGGTGTCCCACTCACCTGCATTTGGAGTGCGAAGACGAAACACGACAGCATGCATTCATTGCATCCATGGAATCGAGCGGCGGTATGGCATCACAAAAACACAGAAAACAAACTTTGAACAATCGATGATGCACCACACACAGCAAAGAATGAGAAAGACAACAAAAAAATTGACAAAAAGTTAAAAACTTATATAAAAAAGATCCACAAGTTCAAAATTCAAATTGCTTAGTAACTTGAGTTTGTCTGCCAAAACAGCACAGCGGGTGCACCCTACGCTGCCTGTTCCCCTTCTTCCTCCTCGCTCTCCTCCGGCTGCACCTCACCCTCACAGCCTTCTTCCTCGTCACTCTCCTCCGTTCCCTCCCCCCCACCGGAATCAGATGTGTCACCTAAGCTGGAAGAAGTCGATGTTGAGCCTTCGAGCTCTTCATCTCCCCGGATGTCTTCCGGGATATCGTCATCGTCGTCATCATTTATGATGGCGGCTCTCTTCGTCTTCCCAGCGGCAGCGTTCTTGGCGGCGGCTTTCGCCGCTGCTTGGGCTTTGGCCGCAACGGCTTTGACCGCAGCAGCTTTTGTTGCGGCAGCGGCAGCTGCTGCCTTGGCGGCCTTCTCTTCCGCCTTTCGTGCCCTGCGTTCTGCCTTCTCCGCCAATGTGGGACGACCCCTCTTCGGCCGTGGCTGTTGTTGCTCAACAACCTTCCTTTTGCCACACTGCACGGGCGCGTTGTCATCAATCTTCTCTTTTCCCTTGTTTGTGCGCCTCCTCCGTGGTCCCTCCTCCCGACCCTCCACCCATGTGCCCGCCCGTCGAGTTGCCAATGCAAGAGCATAACCCTCCTCCGTATACAACTCCTGAGGCACAGGCAGCTCGCTGCCTGATCTCCTGCGCAACTCACGCTCACGGTATTTCCCAAGCTTCGTGCACTCGTGCCAATCGCGCTCCCGTGTACCGACGAGAACAGAGTCCTCCTCCTCGCACAACCTCTCGTCAACCTCGTCATTGCACTGGAAGGTGCGCCGCAGTGGAAACTCGTCTTCCTCGTCTTCGGCGTCCGCCACAACCACCTCTTCTTCTTCCACCTCTCCGTGGACACGCTTCAGCCAATCTGCGTACCAGTCCTCCATCTTCTTGTCCACCGGGACGTCATCCGCCCATGGGATGTGGATTTCATCCCCCCCGCCGCGCCGAATGCTCTTCAGAAGGCGGACATTCCAACTGTTGTACACGATCTTGGCCATCCTCTCTGGCATGACCTTCGTGCGCCTTCTCCCGTAGATGAGCTCATGCAAGCTCCAGTTCCGCTTACAAGCAGCGGAGGAGCTTGCCTGGCCAAGCAATTTGATGGCTTGCGGTGCAAGGAGGTCGTGTTTGGAGCCAAAAGCCTTCCACCACAAAGCTGGTGGTTGCTGGCTGGCTTGCTCGCGCGCCTCCTCTGTGGAGAACCCTCCTAAAGCGTTGACCCACTGATCAACCTGGAAGCTCACTTCCTTGAGTTTATCTCGTGGCATCCAGGAGTATAGCCAGATGTTGAATCCTGCGCGAACCTCCGGGTCGCGCTGCGCGTTCTGCATTCGGTGCTCAGGATCCAGGAAGGCTGCAGCACAATGCAGCTCGCTGGTCATGAATGACCAGCGGTCCATGAGGATGCGCTCCACTGCCTCGTGCTCCTCACTTGAAAGGCACTCGAGGGCACGCATGCGCTGAACAACCCGATCCATTTTGAAGTACACCTTCGAAATGGTCGGTCCTTGTCCATCCACCAGCCGAAGCAGCTCCACCACGGGCTGCATCACATCGAGTGCCTTGTTGAGGTTGTTCCAAAAGTCGCCCTTGTCTAGAATGATGGCCGTCACAGCGTTGAACGCCACTAACTGCTTTGCCCGTACCATCTTCTCCACCCATCCCACATTGCAAACGCAGCGATCCAGTGCATTCTTCAGTTCCTTCAAAGACCCGAGGATCGGGAAGTTGGTGGCAAATCTGGTTGCCGCAGGGCGCTTCAACTTCGTCTTCGGTGAGAAGTTGTGGAACATGGCCCTCGCCTTGTCCACATTCGTGAAAAACTTGCAGACCTTGTTCCCGGCATCAACCACCTCCGCCATCCAAGGCATGTGCTTATACATGTCCTCCAGCGCAAGATCGAGCGCATGCGCAGTGCATCCGACGTGAAAGATGTTCGGATAGGCGGCCTCCACCATCTTCCCCGCCTTGACGCACACTCTTGCGTTGTCCATGACGACACCAATGACTATGTCCGCTCCGATCTCTTTGATGACCCCATCCAAGACACGGAAGTAAGCTTCAGCGTCCTTCTCCTTGCCCTCCATGCACACTGACTTCCAAAAGACCTTACCGACTGGCGAGGACACCATGACATTCAGATGGGGCTTGTTCCGGCGATCGGACCACCCGTCCATCTGCAGCAAACACCCAGACTTCTTCCACTTCGGGATCAGCGAACGCACCTCCGCCCCAACCCGCGCGTAGTCAGGGTCCAGCCATTTCGTCCTTTGCTCATCCCTTCTGCACGGCATTCACGTCGGATGGACCTTCTTCACCGCGTCAATAAACTCCAGGAAGTACTCATCCTCCACCAAACTGAACGGTCGGTTTGTGCAGATTAGAAGCCTGTCGAGAAACCGACTCGCCCGCTCGTTTTGCATGATAACACTGTCGGCCTCCTCGATCAATGTCTGCCGCAAAGGTCCCTTTGGAACTGGCTTCGATGCCTTCGATCCATGAATTGTGCCTGCAGTCGATTGAGGCGTGGGTGTTTCGTCGGTGATGCCCACTGCACCCACCTGTGAGCTACGAAACTGAGGGACGTTTTCAGCGGCGGTCTGCGAATTGCTGGGGCCGGACCCTGATGCCTCTCCGTGCAACARCACGCGAGCAAGCCACTTCCCCTGCCTTATCCCCTCTTCCCTCCTCGCCCTCTCCTCCACCGACATTTCCGTCGTGCAATAGTCAAGGCTGCACTTTTCGAGGAAGTGTTTYGWGAGTTTCGTCGCAGTCCCRMTGAAACGGTGCTCGCAGTACTTGYACATCCACCKCTTCKATCCYYTGAATGCATATTTCCCYGCCACGCCCTCCACRATGAAGTGCAGCTTCAYCTGGTCTGTGAGAYGCTTGGCTGACATCTTGCCCTGCATGACGCCGGCAAAACACACAGCAAATAGGGATCTCAGCCCTCTTAGACACCCTCTCTCCGCATACACAGAACGGGA